TGTGTGTGTGTGTGTGTGTGTGTGTGTGTGTGTGTGTGTATATATGGGATCGGATTTCCTACATTTTTCAGCCGATTTCAACAAAACTTCACTTTTTTTGGCAGGTAGTGTTTCTTATTGTCTTGCACACTTTTTTCTTTATTTTTACACTCAGAATGCTTTAAAAATTCCGTTTACAAGACAATTGTTTATAATAAAATTCTATTCAATCGGTAGACTCATAACGTTTGAAAACAATGTTTTTGTTTGAGTTTGGGTTTGACCAATTCGTAAAAAAAAAAAAAACAACACTAATACTTGATCTATCTCTTACTGTTATATCCCCGGGCAACGCCGGGCTCTACTGCTAGTTATCAATATTACGAATTTTTTATTTTATTTTTGGCTTTTGTTTTGGTTTTTTTGTTTGTTTGTTTGTTTGTTTGTTTGTTTTGTAATAAACGCGTTAAAGTGAATCTGCTACAAAAAAAGCATAAATCGAGAGAATAAAAAATATTTTTTATAACTTTGCAGTGTAAGCGGATGTGAACAATATCAAATCAAAGGGGCAAATGACAAAAATAAACACACTGCGCAAGGGCTCCGTGCAGCCTTCCGGTTTTCAAACACAATTAAAATTTTCAAATTAATAAGAATAAATAGCTAATAAAAACAGCTCCCGTCAATAAATAAACATAGGCTTCTGGAGCCTACGCGAGACCATAAAAACTAAATATTCATTCAATTCGGCAGAAGGACTGACAGCAATAAAGGGACATGAGTCAACTTTGTCGTCCAAATAGTGAATCAGTCAAGTAAAAAATAAAAACATCTGCTTAATCACGCGTTTCGTTTCAAGAACTGATTGATTTGTTTGTTTAACGGCATATCAACGTCTTATGGTACATTTAATGCCGAAATTTAATTTTCTTGTGAGCTTTGAAGTAATGAAAATGATATATGTTATTCTGCTTTCACAATTGAATACATGGTAAATGATATTCAGCTTTTGTGCATATACATATTTCTGTGGACACAATTACGAGAGGCGGTGATGTGTGTGTTTTCTGTTGAAGTTTTGTTGAAGTTATATTTTGAAATACAGTTTGATTTCTTTAAGAAACTGTAGGCTATTATATGAAAGAATTCTTTAATGTTTGTTTGATTTTGTTTAGCGGCATATCAACATGTATATGAGTTATTTAATGTCGAAATCTAAATATTTTGAACGCATTTGTATGCCTTCAACTACAGATAAAATTTATTGGTGGTCATTTTGCTATAAATATGTATTGTTGGTAATTTTTTATTTAAAAATATATTGCTAGTATTTTTATTATAAAAATGAATTTATAATTTCATAGTGTTTTGCTTTTGTTTGGGGGTTTACTATTTATTTGTCCATAGCTTGGACCCTAACAGGTGCTACCGAGCCGCGTCATGGTGAACCTGGGAACATCAGCAAATAACAGGCAGTTCCACGCTTCTCAAAACCTCTAATCTCTTGAGCAGAGACTTGCTGCCGGAAGTAGTATATCGTCATACCTCGTTTCAAGAAGGAACTTCTTCAGATTAGTAAGGGTTTTCTTAATTGCATCAATTTTATATCTAATATGGGGAAAGGGTAGGGAAGAAGATACAACAAACACCTGTTACAATTTACAGCGGAACGTTAAAGCTATAGAAACGCTCAGTTTTAAATTTAAATTTTGACGTCAGGTGTATATAGATATTTAGGTTTGATCAACCTCAGTCTGATTTTTATCGCTGTTGTTTTTAATAATCACAGATTGTATCAGCGGCCATCGGGCACCTCGATGTGCTGTAATGGTTAGCAAGCTGGTCTCGCTAGAACAATTACGACTGAGTAGTGAGTTCAGTCCTCACTGGGTGACCCACACTTTCGACCTTGTGCCACATCTAAGCTATGCTTAGAAAATAACCATTGAATCAGCGGCCGTTCTGTAAGGAAAAGAGATATGTTGTTTGTTACTGAACGGGAATTTCCTGAAGCGGATTCCAAAATTAGCGCAATTTCAATACATTTTTGCTTGCAGTAGTAGTGAGCTAGGTTTTGAAAATAAAAATATTTTGTAAATCCCTTGAAATGTCTTATCATCGCTTTAATATCTCATTAACATTAACACCGGCATTCTTATGGACTGGTCAATAACTTCGTTTCTGAAACCAGATACTTGGATAAGCGAAACAAAAGATCAAAAACGTTGTACCAAAGCGAAGAACAATCCTAATCGCACTCGGCATACTCCCGGCCTAAAAATATATTTAGCATATTTACCGACCTAAAAACCCAGAAGAAGGCTTCGTAGTCAGTCCCGTCTATCCTTGGGTCAAAAAGCGGGACAGGCTCTCTCTCTCTCTCTCTCTCTCTCTCTCTCTCTTGTTCACCTTTCTTTTATATTTCCATTTTTGTACAAACCACACATCCTCAATCTTCTTCTTTCTACACGTGTACGTTTTTTCATCCTTCATTTCAATATATATTTTCTTTCTTTTGCTTCCCCCCTCTCTTTCTCTCTCTCTCTGTCACTCTCTCTGTCTCTGTCTCTCTCTCTGTCTCTCTCTCTATTCCAACGTACCCCTAGCTATGAACCCTGTCTCACGAACAGAATAGAATTCGTATTCATAGAAAAGGAAATACTTACCAAGACAATGTCCGCTAAGCAAATCATTCATTTTAATAAATTACTTTCTCTTTTATTAAAAACTGCATTCTTTAAGTCGAAATTATGCTTAGAAAATATATGTATTATAATGATATTATATGCTATTATAATGTAATATATAAGTAATATATATCTGTTTATATCTCGATCAAGTATAGAAATGAATACAATATGGGAACCAGTAATCAGGAGTGCTAGGGAAAAGCAATGAATAAGAATATAAATTGCAATATAAGCTCTGGTAAATATACAATAGTAATAAAAAAAATTGCAATATGAGCACTGATAAAAAAAAATCGTTGCTAAGACATTAGGTTTAAAAGTCCCAAAAATTCATAGACAGATGTCCTCAAGGACACATGGCCTAGTGGATAAAGACGTTGGTTAGAGTTCTGAGTTCAATACCAGACCCAAAACTTTGAGATTTGAGTTAAAGGGAAATAACTGACACATCCAGAGGCATGGCACGTGGAGCTAGAACAATCTACGAAATAAAGGGTTCGGTTCGAAATTCCAGTCACCTAAGGTTGGAGTGTACAGCGGCCGAAACTAAGTAATCATAATATAATGGTACTATATGTATTGTAATGATATTATTCTTTATATGGGTTATAGTGGAACACACCTATTCTATAGTTAATAGACTCCCCCCCCCTATAATAAGTAGAAGTCGCTCAGTGAGTTGAGTCAATCAGTTGACCAGCTGATCGGTTGAACTCTCTGCCTTAGGGCGGGGAGGAACCCGAAGGAGGCTACGCCGAAGGGCGGATTCTCTTTCGGGGAGGTAAACCGACCCTGACCCCGTTTATACGGGTTCAATGGGCATATTTTGGCCGAGCCCATGGACTCGGAGATCCCATGTTAAAAAGGCCTTGTGCCACATGATGCCCACGTGGGGGGTGGGGGTAACTAAATATAGTCAGTCGATGTCGGACGACCGGTTGATCGGTTGAACTCTCTGCCTTAGGGCGGGGAGGAACCCGAAGGAGGCTACGCCGAAGGGCGGATTCTCTTTCGGGGAGGTAAACCGACCCTGACCCCGTTTATACGGGTTCAATGGGCATATTTTTGGCCGAGCCCACGGACTCGGAGAGCCCACGTTAAAAAGGCCTTGTGCCACATAACGCCCTCGTGGGAGGGGTGACTGAATATCGTCAGTCGATGTCAGTCGACCGGCTGATCGGTTGAACTCTCTGCCTTCGGGCGGGGAGGAACCCGAACGAGGCTACGCCGAAGGGTGGAGTCTCGTTCGGGGAGGTAAACCGGCCCTGAATCCGTTTATACAGGTTCAATGGGCATATTTTTGGGGCCGAGCGCAAGGGCTCGGAGATCCCACATTAAATAACCGGCCTTGTGCCACATGCTTCCCCAGTGGGGGCGGGGTGACTGAATATCGTCACTCTTAATAATAACGGACGACTGTTAGTCGGGTACTAAAAGTATCAGCGACCACCACTAGATTTCTCTGCGTCATTACCTATTATATCAAGTTCCTAACGTTTTGTACGTCGAACCTATTTTTGGACCGACTTAGTACAAATACAAGCCTACACTGTGAAATCACTCTACAACAATATGGTCAAAAAATGCCCCAAGAGGAACGTAGATGAGATATCCAGGTATATGCTATTATTTATATGAAATAGTAAATGGTACCAAAAGAGTTCTTTTAGTAAACTACATTCAGTGCATTTGTCGATCCTCGTGCTAGGTTTGACAGTAATTTCCACTCAAAGCGGTTGTTGTATTTTTATTTTCCTCCTCTACGTTTTTTTTAAATTTTTTTTTTTATCTGTGACTGATTACATCAATAAAACGGCTGTCTGATGAAGTCCCTTCCCGCAACGAAACGCGTCACAATCAGCACGTACCGGCACCACCAACTCTTGCAAGACTAATTCGATACGCACACCTCTTTTCCGTCTTCCTCCACCCAACTCCCATCTTCAAGAATTAAACACACGGACAAATACAAAAATGTGTCTATATTTATGAGATGAGGCATTGTAACTATTTATACTATTTAAATTGTTCGGACTGTTGTCCTGATCTTTATTGTCATATTCGGTCGTTGTACGCTCCGGCTTTCTTCGATTCGAAATTCCATCGTATATCACCTGAAGAAGGCCGGGGCGTACAACAGTCGAAACGTCGTGAAGATGAGGGCAATGTAATCCGAACAATGTAAATAGTGTAAATATATACAACAATTATTCGCTAAACTGCACACACACACACACACACACACACACACACACACACACACACACAAACAAACACAAACACACACACACACACATAAAAACACTAACACCATTCTTACGGAAACGTCACGTTAAAACACAGTTTCTCGTACGATCACCGAAGTTAAGCATGGTTGAGCCCTGCTTGTAGTTAAATGGGTGACCGCTTGAGAATATCATCTGCTGTAAACTTGGATGTGCGGATGGTGTTATGGCTTGGAATTTTTAATCGGAGAGCCGAGTTCAAGTTCCCGTTGGGATCATTATATTCACTTACGCGCAAACACTGTTGGGAAAAGTATGAAACCATCTCTTCTCACCCAGCTATGGATTAATTAGTAAGATTTTTATCACTAAACCATTCTTATCCCCCACCAAAAAAAAAAAAAAAATTCTTACAAGAACCAAAAAATATTTTCTGGCTTTAAATAACTTGCAAAGGGCTGAATCAATCAAACACTAACACCGCAAAAACTGAAAGTACCAAAACTGTCTCTTCCATAAGTCATTCCAAAAATTTCTGATGAAGCTTAAACAAAAACGAAACATGTCAAATTGATAAACGGTTCCTATTTGTTTGTTGCATTGCCATACTGTCGGATTTTAATTGTCTCAAAATTTTAATTATCATACTGTCGGATTTTAATGGTCTCAAGATTTTAATTGTCATACTGTCGAGTTTTAATTGTCTCAAAATTTTGTCATACTGTCGGATTTTAATCGATATTTGATTCAAATTCATGTATGTATTGAAAGATATGACAAATAGAAAACTGTTTTATTGAAACTAGATTTTTCTTCTTTATATGCCGGATCCCCCTCAGGACGTAGGCGATCATAGCTCTCCACGATTTCCTCTCTTTCGTAGCTCTTAATAATAATTTATCTTTTTATTATCTCTTTTAAACATGGCTCCACCGTCCTTTTACTCAAGCTCACTAGGTGGGTTGTGCGTTCTTTTCTTTTGTCCCTCTTGCCTTCACTCTGTCCTGTGAGTATCACATTTTCCAAGTTCCCTTTCCTCATTATGTACCCTAGAAATTTCAACTCTCTCTTTCTGATGTTAAGTATAAATATCCTTTTTGTTTCCATTTTCTCTAAAATTGCGTTGTTGCCCACATGTTTGGTTTTTGCAAATATTCTCAGCATCCTTCTGTAGAACCACATTTATGTTGCTTCAAGTCTCTTCTTTATCTGCGAGGAGATTTTCCAACATTCACTGCTATATCGCTTTTGTGATGTCAATGAACACTTGTTGACACTTTTGTGATGTCAACAAATACTCGTTGTCACTTTCGTAATGCTTGTTGTAGTAGAGACTTTGTAATCGCAGATACAACTATAGTACCGCCGTTGAACAATGCTGGTGTCAGGCGCCTTCGAATATCACTCGCACTAATAGTACTTGCTCGATAATACTCGCTCGAACAGTAATCCGTATAGTGATCTGAATAGAGAAATAGTATAGTGAATAGAGTAGTGAATAGAGTAGAGAATAGCGGTCCATATAATAATAGAAGATAGAGTAGAAATGACGATTACGCTACCTTCCATATATGAGTTTCCTCTATGGTCACGTGGTCTACTTAATTCAATAATGGGATCGCCTGTGTTTGCTCACTGGCGATCTATGTTCAAACTCATGCGTCGACAGCGACACTTTAATCGCCAAAAAGTTCTTAAAATCTACATTTTTTATGGCTTTAAATAATCTGCTAAAAGTTGATAAGCCCTAAAAAACGAATCAATCAAAACATTTGGTAAACAAAAGAAAATGGTGGCATTAATCTAAAAAGCAAACATTCTTCATATTACTATAACAACGGCATATCTTACTTGCAAGTAGCTAGATAAGGCTTTGTTTCATGTTTTATTTGGATACATTTACTTTTAATGGCTGGTTGTTTTTGTTTAGTGGCGTATCAACATCCACATGGGTTATTCAATACCGAAATCTAAATATTAAAATTCAAATTTTTTAATTAATTCCAAAGAACGACATTATTTCCTGCTTAAATAATTAACTAAAAAATGTTTGCACCAAAATCTTACAAAATCAAACAAGGAGTAAATTTTTTTTTCTCCTTACAAGAAATAAGATTAATCATAGAAAATAGTTTTTTTTTATTTACTTTTTTAATAGAGTATGCTATATCTTCAATTTTACCATCAAGTTTATCGTTGGTAATTTTACTATAAGATGTATTGTTGATAGTTATTTTTATAAAAATGTATTGCTGGTACTTTTACTATAAAAATGTATTTTATACTTTCCTAATGTTTTGTTTTTGTTTGGCGCCCATTCGAATGTTCATAGCTGGGACCCTAAGTGGTGCTACTACCCCGGGTCAAGGTAGACCTGGGAACATCTGCAAATAAGAGGTGGTTCCACGTTCCGAAAAAAACCCTTCAATTTCTTGATCGGAGTCCTTGCTACCGGATGTAGTTTATCGTCATACTAAGGATTATCATTTTGGGGAGGGGATCGTAACCCCCTGTAGAGGTACACTCGGCGTATTCTCCAGCCCCGGCCGACAGGGCAATTTACTTTTAATGATAAGAAACATAATTTCTTACAATACAGTTAATGATATTGGAAAGAAGCTCTAATTCCAACACAATTACATACCCACATAAATACCATATTAAAAACAAGCCCAAACTATTTTTTACCCAATAACAAACAATATTACAAACGTACCAAAAAAGATTCCACAATACAATACACACTGTTTAAACCAAAGTGTCTATTGGTTAGAAATTAAGATCACCATGTGAAATATTTGACCAATCAGTAAAAACTAAAACCCTATTTATCTTGAGCCTGCTTTCGGGAAAATTGCTGATAAAACCTCACAGATTTCGACTTTCAGAGAACAGACTCGTGACTGTTACTCCCAACCCCACGCGTATTGAAAGTTGGTGACTTCAAAACGAATCATTTCCAACGGCATGGCCAGACGCCGACTTCAAACAAATTATCTCCAACAAGAGCATGACCAGTCGCTGACCACAAACGAATCATCATCAACAAAAGCACGGCCAGTCTCCGACCACAAACAAATCATCTCCAACAACTGCATGGCCAGTCGCCGATGTAGTGGACCGTGGCTGTGATGTTGTTGAGTAGAAGTAGAAGAAACACATGTGGGTTCAGATTTTCCTGCTAGCCGGTCCAAACTACATGAATAAGTTGGACTTTAATTAAGTCCAAAGAAGGCAAAGAAAAACAAACACAAGACCGATAATACATGTATACAAATATATATATTAATAACAAGTTACATGTAAACAGTTACAAAGGACAAAGTGTGTGTGAATATTATATATGTGTGTGTGTATTGTGCTTAGCGTGTTCCCAGCATTCGGGAAACGCTATCTCTGTGAGCGTTCACATCTTCGAGGTAATAAGGCTGAAAACCTGAGGAAAAAGAGAAATTTACCTCCAGGTGTCGGCGCAAAGGCCCGAGGAAAAAAGAGGAAGAGGCGAAGGGACAGCGACTATTTATAGCCAGGGAAAAGAGACCCCTGGTGAAAGGGTTAACGAACTAAAGGAGGAGTTAACTCCGACACCGACTTCAAACGAATCATCTCCAACAACAATAACAAAGATGTTCAGTGAATATTTGCTAACGATATATATATTTTTTTTCAACCACAGATTTTTTCTGTGGACCAACCGTTTAAAAGCTTTTTCTAAACTACAGATTTTCTGTGCAGATAAAGACTTTAACTCGACTAAAGACTATTTTTACTCCTTTTTGGCTCTTTTGCATTCATGTATATATGTTTGTAAATACAAATGATTTATTTGACAGGCTTACCCATGTTTTATTTTATTTTATTATTGTTACGAATTCAGACATTCGGATTTTAATATACAAAAACTTGGACGACAGAATTTCCTACAATATGAATAAATATCTTAAAATGTAGTCAATAGAATTGCAGAATTACTTACATATGACTTTTGACGGTAGGTGTTCTGTTAACTTTCTTTGGATACTTTTACTTTTAATGATTGAAAAAACAGAATTCTTTCTAATAAATTGTTTAGTAAATAATCCCAGATTAATCTAGCTGAAAATATAACAAATGGAACTGCAAAATGAATTAAGCTCGGCCGTTTTTTTTATTTTTTTATTTTTTATTTATTTTTTTTTTTGACACTACTGGTTGTGTTTGCTTTCGTTAGCTATTTTTGATTTACTTTTAATGATTTTCAAAGGCAGAATTTTTCTTGCGTGCGATAACAGAGCTAATAACAGATAGAGATCTGAAGTTAATCGAGCAGAAAATATGAAAAAAGCAATTGCAAAATTAAATAAGCTGCCAATGTTAGGGGAGGCCGGTAAACTAATTCATAATTATTGACAACATTTCGTCTAATAAACAAATGAGCAATTAAAGCAGATAGGAGTTACATAAGTACGTTTATGTAAGCTTGTATGTACATATGACAAAGATACTTATGAAAAATTTCTCAGAGTTAACCTGTAGAAAAAGACAATATTTATAAATGTAAAAGACAAAAGAAAAACTGTAATATTAGCCAACGAGTTTCGTCCAATGTGGACATTTTCAAGGTAAAAACGAAATGAATTTATTAAAAACAAAGTAACTATTAACAACAAAACAAAATGTCATTAGCAACTGGAAGAATCTAGAAAACGCTGTTATTCTTCCAGTTGCTAAGGACATTTTGTTTTGAGAGCCATGATCGTCTATGTCCTGAAAGGACACGGCACATAGAAAGACGTAGTGAGTTAAATGAGAAATGTTCAAAGACAGGCTATTCATGTCGAGAGCAGGCAGATATGATCTTTACATATGGCAGGGTCAATTGTAATGAACACAAGGCTGCACTGCTGTTTCAGATTGCGTTTCCAGACCGAAGGCAACCGAAGATAACCGAAGATAACCGAGTCAACCAAACTTTTCAATTGATTATCATCACGTTGCTGAGACGAGATAGATCAAGGTTCGGTTTGGTTTATTTTGTTTTACGGCATATCAACCTGAATGGGTTATTTAATGCCGACAACATTTTTAGGATAGATTCGTATGAATAGAATATGTATTCTTTGGTTTAGATTGGTATGGTTTATTTTGTTTTACGGCATATCAACCTCACTGGGTTATTTAATGCCGACAACATTTTTAGGATAGATTCGTATGAATAGAATATG